CAACAAGAAGAGTTCACCTTTTGACCCTGAGATCTCATTTCTTCTTTTCTCTGGTGCATGTTTAAATTTAGGGTGAAAACCATACAAAAATGCATGAGGGTGGGGTAAGTTGTGAGGCAGAGGAAGAATCTAATTTTGGAAAGTCTTCCCTAGCAAACCCTCTCCAACTTCCACTTGTCTCACTTTATTTGTGAATGTCTCAGTCCCAGAAGTGAAGACAGCTGAAATTTGTTCAGATATCACAATGAGCGGCATCGCATCAGGGTACCCAAGTGCATAAATTAGATCTCCTTCTCCAAAATTATTTTCAGAAGACATGACCTATTGCCATTCCTACTGTGCATAACATATTGCAGCCCATGACAGCCCCTTGTCCCCATTAGCCCCATGCACAAGCCCCTCTTCAGAGAGCTGTCTTGTAGATCTCCAACTCTTTCCTCCACAAACACGAAAAGTTTTTACTCATGAGCAATTAAAACGTTAAGCAAACATAAAACCATATTGCAATATTATCACTCCCATTCTTGCCCTATTATTTCCTATTTTTTTTGTCATTCTTTTTGCACTGACTCTGATCAGCACCCCCTGCTACCTTCCAACCATCCTCACATTTCTGCCCTTTGTGGGATATGTCCACTGCTCAGCTCCCAGCCATCCTCTCACAGCTCTCCATCCCTGGGACACCCAGTTGGCTGGAGGCAGGGTGAGTAGGGCAGGCGCCAGCTGCCATATCTGCGACAATCTGTGACAAACAGCTGGCGAGCGCTGAGGAGCTTGTTGAGAGCACCTGCCAGTTGTGTTGTGCAGGGCTGCTGGCAGAGACTGTAGCTCCCTCTGTGATCTTGGTTTGAAAACGGAGCCCTGCGCCAAGGAAAGCAGCACTCCTGAACAGCCTGCCTTTCCCACCACTGCTTGCCGAGACTGCCAGGACACCCTCAGGTGCTCCTACAGGAGCAGGACAGAGATTTCCCAAATGCTGTGTAACAGACACACTAAAGAAAGACGGCCAGGAAGCTTTCAAATGAGCTTCCTAAGGGCTCCCAGGACATGTCTCTGCAGTTAGTGCAGGGACATCTGAATATCTTCACTCTCATAGCTTCTCTCTAAGTGGTGGTTTTTCTCTGCCTGCATTGCTTGCATCAGAACCATGGAGCCCTGTGCAGCTCAGAGAAGGAAGTGTTGCCATCCTGTCACGGGCCTCCTATCCCTATGCTCCCCTTGTGTTACAGAGTCAGTAGCACTGCCAGTGACATGCAGATGACAATGTTGGGTCCTTGCCCCTACCAGAATCAGCTCATGCTCCCCACTCCAAGAGCTGTGAGAAAGAAAAACAAATAAGAAAACCCATGCAATTATAGCCGCTATATCTCAGCACATAATTCCGAACTTGCTGTAGCCCTTTGTCTGCCCTGGTTTTATTTGTTCAGAAGATCTTTTTCTCAGGAGATTACTTCTCGGCTAAATGCCCTCGTCAAAATCTTTCTCAGCAGCCACAGTTTTCTACTATGTTCTTTTCCTCTTATGTGTCTTTTCATATATCTGAAGTGCACCTCCCTGTTCTTCCTCACATATGTATCTTACAATATTTGTAGAGGTAAGATGTCTACCCATCTTAACCATCCAAATACCTTTGTTTTCTAACAACTAATGTATGGGTTTCAACTTTCTAAATCTTGATACTAAGTATAGTTCAGTGAGGCATTTAAACTCCTTAGAATATGGATTGTTTACATATGTTCCTTGTAATAAAGGAAAAATTAATTAATATTTGACTGATGCAGAAGGGTACCTTGGGAACCAATATTTATAAAATGGTAGAGGACTTTCTGAGAATGGAGAAAAGAACAGAGATTAGAGCTGGCAGCTCTCCATTATCTGGCCACTTACTGTCACAAAATCCAGCAAGAGACAGCTCCTGCTTTTTCCTTTTGATTTCTCTGTGTAAATCTGCTCTCACCCAAAGCTTGACCACATGACAGCACATATTCACATTAAACTGATTATTTCTGTCTGAGCTGTNCTCCACATAAGAAATGTCTCCTGGAAATATCCCCATTCACTGCAGAAGGAGTTGCATTTCACATCCCTAACAGACTCCTACATTTTATGTTAACTTCTTGATGGTAACCAGGCAAAAGAATGCCTGGTTCATCTACATTAGAACTTGATTAAAATGCCCAGATAAGGTAACTAGACACATAGAGATTATCCTAAAAATCTACAGGTTTCAGATACTATTGGTCAGATTAAAATTTCGCAATTCCTGAGCAGTATCAGCCACTTGCCACAAAATTGTTCACAGATTTACTTGATTAACCTTGACACAGTTTATAGTTAACCAAGCTTCATTGTTATACATGGGAGTAAGAGAAGGTTCATGACCTGTTGAGCTGGTGCTTCCCCATAGGTAGAGTGCAAGCACAGAAAGTAAGAGCAGCTGGATTTGCACTGAGAAATAAATATCCTGATTGAACAGATTTCTCCCAGCAATAACTAGGCCTCCCTCTTTCTGCAGATACATATGTATATGGATAAAAGTGGTGCACCTTGAGAGTGAGACTGTAAGCAAGCTGGATTAGTTAAAAAACTGAGCATCCTGCTGGTTGATTCAGCAAGCTATCTCTACAGTCCCATTGGAGCAAGAGAAGTATGGCTCTATTTCCTCCTTTCCCTAACCTCACAGCTGTTGGGTCAAAGGATAATATAAATCCACTGATCAAGCAAAAATGTATAACAAAATCCAATCAGATGTATTTTATTAATCTGTTGCAGAAGATGCTGACATCATACAAATGCAGGTTTATAGGAGTTTCTTGACAATTCTGCTAAAATAGAACAAAACAGATAAATCAGTCAGAACAGCAGTTGTAGAATTTCAAGAAGGAAAGCCTTTTTATAGCATAGACATGACCCAAAATAATTTAGAAAGTCTTATTAAAAGGAGCAGGATGCAGCATTTCAAATGTTTCACCATCTCAATCTCTGTGATAAAGATTTCAGGAACTAACAAAATTAAGCTGTTCACATCGTTGGTTGCACATCATCTCTGAAGCCACAAGGAAGTACCTATCATCACTTTATTTTTTTCCTTTCAGTTTTGTGGTATGCTGTTGGACTGCATGCAGGAATGGAGTCCAGAAGCTCCCAATTTAGGATTTGCTCTATGAGCTTATACAAGTTACAAGCATTTCTGAACAGCCCAGAGATCCTCATACCTAAAAGTTACAGGGCAGCATCTTGATGTGCCAGGTGGCATACAAATAAGGACTGCTTTGAAAAGCTCACAAACTGAGTAACATAAGAAACAGAAGTTTCAAGCACACAGCCAAGAGATCTCTATCAAAAATCAAGGCCCTTATGGCCAGCAGGATTCCCGATGGTCTCAAAGGAGTAACTAGCAAGAAACTCCTCAATAAAGCTAATGGGGAAGTGCTCCAGGAGAAAATGGGAATGGAATGGCAAGCCAAGTGAAATAGAAAGGACTTGTGACATTTTTGTCATCTTTGATCAACAGCAGTGAAGACTGTGAGACCACTTACAGGATGCCTACTAGAGTCTTGGTAGCACCCCAAAAATATCCTTTTTTGACTGGCATAATTTTGATTCAATATTTGTCAATGCTGTCGTTTGTTATATTGCCATTATCAACCATATCCTCAATTACAATCTGCCTTTCTAACTTCACTTTTACATCTGTCTTTCTGAATGGTAAGTACTCTTCAACATGATCTAGGCAACGTAGCTGTTCTAATATGTTTCTCTTGTCCCTCTGAAATTTGCTTGCACCTGCGAAGCTAGGGGTTATTTATATTCCCCCCCCTCCCTTTGCTGGATTTTCATATTTGTGTATATTAAATCCAAACATGAAGATTATAAAAGTATTTGTTGAGTTTGCTTTTCTGTTTCCAAGCTCAGAGATCTCCCTACTGGTTGTCCTAGTATGAGTTCCAAAAGCCTGAAACTTGTTGTTTAAGGGGAGTCCACAGGAATGTAAAATATTTTCCCTCTGTGAATTCTTCTCAACACTCAATATCCCAAAATTCTATAAACATTTTAAACCCAGATACTGTCCTCTTAACTTTGTCAAACTTTGGTTCTGCTTCTCTATCAAATGAGGATTCTTCAGAAGATCCATGTAATATTCATTCCTTTGAGTAACTTTGCCAACCTACATAATTATTTTTTATCTATTTCAGTGTGAATTTTGGAGTACCATCTACACTCATTTGAAGGCTGAACTATAGATTTTCTTTCAGAATCCTTTCCAGCCTCGTGTGCTATCACACCACCTCCTTTTTTCTCTGCATCTCTTTAGCGCAAGCTTAATACCTCACAGTAGCAAGTTACCATTTGGCTCATAAAAATTTCTGATTTCTATGTTTGAGAAAATTTCTTCTCTAATGGATTTTTGTCTGTCCTCAGATCATTCTGTCTTTTCACCTCTACTGATGTTACAATTACATAAATAATATTCTGTGGCATTCTTTACACTTCAGGCTACGTAGGCTATTCTATCTTCTTTTGCTGATGTGGCTGGATTCCCTTTTTCCTTTGTCACCTATCTTCTTTGTGGTTGTCTTTGCCATTCTTCTACACATCAATACTGTCCATTAACTTTGTTCTTCATCACATCATCATGTTTTGCCACTGCAACTCTCCTTAGGTAGTTGTCTGACTTCCACATTTTCTTGTTTGGAAGCTGTCTGAACTTCTCTGCAAAGTCTCTTCTGAGCTCCATAAAAGCCATTGGCCTAGTACCTTCTCCATCTGCTACTGAAGCACCTCTTGTCTATGCTATGTGAATTAGGAATACACTTCAGGAGAATACAGACCACCTGGATTCTGCTTTTTTCAATTTATTTTTTTTCCAGAGATTCACTTCATTTTTGTCTCACATTCTTAATTCCTTTCTTTCTCTTCTTAATTCCTGCTCTTAAAGTAAAAAAGAAACCCCCAAAAATCATTAACAGTCATGCACAACAAAAGGACACTTATAACAGAATCACAGAATATGCCAAGTTGGAAGGAACCCACAAGGATCATCAAGTCGAACTCTTAGCTCTGCACAAGACCATCCCCAACAGTCACACCATGTGCCTGAGAGTATCATTCTAACCCTTAAACTCAGACAGGCTTGGTGCTATGACCACTTCCCTGGAGAGCCTGTTCCAGCACTCAACCACTCTCTGGGTGAAGCATTCCTTTTAGTCTCACAGCTGAACATTTAAAGAAAATATCCACATTGATATAATTTATAAATATAATGTTTATCACTATTTTGCCATTGTTACGATTCAGTGAAAATAATTTCTGAGACTTTTCACTCCTATGGCTTTCCTGCTTAAAGAAAACCTCTGTGCGAATATCTGTCAGAATAAAACCTTTGCCTTTCCATTTCTCCTCCTCATTTGCTGCATAACGCTGTGTGTTGTTCACCTAATGTGTTCCAGACAAGAAGTTACTGCAAGTTTCTTATCCAAAATAAATTTTTCAGCCTTCACTGACATTTTGCCTTTTTCCTGCATAGGGCCTTTTATGAATTCACTAACTATTGCTCTATAAGGAGATATGTTATTTACATTGGGTCTACTCTTTAATCATTTATTTGATTTTACCTTATCTGACCTTTTGTTTCTCAGCCCACATATACTTAAGCAAACCTGCTTAGAATATTCCCCATTTCTGTATAACTTTTAGTTCCCACAATTGCATATCTTCTGCAGATTTATTCAACTCCCTATTTGCTACCGACATCTTGACGTTAGCAAACATCCGTTCAGTAGAAATCTTTTCCCATGACTTAATTTGGGAATCAGTTTTTCCGCCTTTCCTTTGTCCACCTGAAAGTTTAAGCTCTGAAGGTTTTCCTCTGAAGCAGCCACAGTAGTCTAAGCTAACTGAATTAGCCTTCCTCACATCCTGCACCTGATGATCCTCCCTGTCCAGAAACCACAAGGAAGTTGATCCAGGCAGTAGATTCTGGAACAAACCCTTCTCTGCTGAGGGGAAAAAAAAATCAAATTAATTGAATCTAATGACTTTGAAGCCTTCAGTAACAATCACCGTACATGGAAAGACCTCATCAGTATCTCCCCTATTTCACAGTTTATTTCTTTCAAGCTCCTCAGATTAATACCATCTGCTCCTGGTAATTCACTGCATTTGTCTTTCTCAAGTTGCTTTATAACTTCCTCCTGAGAGACTGCAGTCTCTCTTAAGGCCAACGTCTGGTTTCCCATAGGAATGCCCTTTGAATAGCACCTTCCATGGAAAACACAGATGTAGGAAATTTGTTTGACTTCACTCTTAGCTAAGCCTCCTTTCCAGCTGACTCCTCGTTGCCTAACATGAACAGTCACTTTTGCAATTTTCTAAACAATAACAGGTACCTGTGTATTTCTTGTATTGGAAATATTTTTATATTTTAGACAAAACTTTCTTGTACTTATGTAGCATCTTTATAGTCTCAAAGTCTCTTTATAGTGTTTATCCCCAACATTTTTAGGGGTAGAATGTTTCAGACAAAGAATTACTAGAATTCTAATAAATATTTTCCTCATTTTTAACCATTTTTCTTAATGTTCACAACCATTTTGTTTCCCTGGAAGAATACCTATTAATTAGAAGCAAGTTGAACCTTCTAAATTCCTCATCTCAATCAACTCCCGCACTTACACGATGAATCTTTCCCTTTTTTCACAATTTCTAAAATGAATTGTCAAATAATCAGTTACTTATGCTGCCAGTAAATTACTCCAACCTGCCATTCTGCAAAAGCCAATGAGGTGATGCACTAATTATGCATCGCTAGAGCTGCGAGTTTAGTATCTTACAAAGGAATGGTCTTGGCTAAGACAAGAGTTTGGGTTTGAATGTCATATATGGGTGCTGCTTGTTTAGACAAAAACAAGTAGCATGAAACAAGTAGCATGAAATCTCACTGACTCAGGAAATTATGGAGAAGCATGCAAATTCTGCTGTCAAGCCAACAAAGTAAACAAACTAAGACACAATGGGATTAAAAGACGGGATAAAAGTCTGAGATCAAAGAATCCTTATCAGAAACTCTCATGCACCAACAGTCACTTCTGATGCAAAATGAGTTGCAACTATACTGAAATCAGACAGGTAGAAAAAGCAATCTCCAGAACAGCTAGAATTCTTGGTTTCTGAGGGGTTTACAGCATCAAATACAATTCCTTAGAATACTGTTATAAACAATTTGGAAACTAATAAATGCTACAGTGAACAGGTGTAGAGGACTTCCTGCAAAGTTTTCCAATTAATAGGCAACTGTATTCTGTATTTCTGTTTTGCAGTGACAGCAGATTCAACAGCGGTGAACCCTGTTCTCTAATTATGATGTACCAAGTGGCTTAATCAGTTTGCAATCTTTCCTTTTTAGGTAAATCAAAACACAATTAAATAAATAGTGTACAAACGGTAGGAGGGTATTCTCTGAACAAAATATTTCAGAGCTAGGTAATGTTGAACTGTCATCATCTGATGACAATGTGGAAAGAATCAATCACAGAATACTTTTGTTAGGTTTGAAAAGAAGAAATTGTGTAAATAATATAGAATTAATAGATTGCTAACAACACCACCTAATAGCTATAGGATGCCTTTTATGCAGTTTCAGATATATATGATAATTTCTTCTAAAGTAAGTGTAATAATTAAATTCTTGATAGTCAATTCTTGTAGAATACTAGTAAATTCTCTAACACTGTAGTCAATTGTGTGACTATGATTTTACCACATTCCTTGACTTACTGAGTTTCTGTTGGTTTGCTCAACCAAGGTGGGATTTATAAGGAAATTAACCTGCGGGTTGTGTCAGTGTGGTATGGCCATAACAGTCAAAAAAGAGAGAAGAAATCTTTTGGGAACCAGTCATGTCATGGCTTACTGGTGACTTTTATTCCTACCTACCACCATTTGAAAGTTGGATCCAGCTTTAAAGCAGATCTTGAAAGTCTTTTCCAAACTGGCTGATTCTATGATTCTGTATAGAAATATTATGCCTTCAACCTTTATTTCCTGGAGAATTTCAGATATTTCTTTAAAAGCTTTCTACTCTATTTGAGAGGATTTTCAAACTCTACTTACAAAGTTGTTGCAGGTTTTTCAGGTATTTCCCATCTTGTAAAATAGCTGCTGATTGTACAGCAAGAGGAAATAACTTTTCATGTCCGTTTGGTATGCACCGTCTTGCAACTTCATTGAACATACTCCTATTTCTGTATTTTGATAATGGGTGTAAAAATACTGAATGTTCACCTGTGTTTATCAGTTATTTCTTATCACATTTTCATTACAACTTTTTTCTCTCTCTTCTGTCTAAAGAAAGCAGATCACGGTATGAATTAACAATTTTCATTTTCTAAATGCTTGACAAGAATACACCCCTTCATGTTGATATAATCTGAACTAAACGTATTATTTAGTACTACTTGTGTTGTTAAATATCTACTGATGCATTTACATGACTTTATCACACTTCCAGAACTCTCATTGGCCCTTTTCTAAAATATTGCTGAGATTGGGTTTTTGTAATGGTTTTACACATTGGGTAGAAGTCATAATTATAGTCCCATAATAGTACCCAGGTGTGTTTCCTGAGTTAATATAGAATCCAGCAAGGCATATGACTAATTAAAACTTCATTTAGAATCAGATACTCTTGAGAGCTGTGCATAAATGACTTTATGACATTTTTAAGCATACAGAAAAATGATCTGTGGGATATGTCAGCTGCTCCATGGCTCTCCTGCCTGATAGGCAATTAAATTTTTTTTATAGTATATCCTTCTCTGTTTTAGACTTTTGAGTGTTTAGAATAAGCAACAAAAAATAAATTTTTTTAATGTTAAAAAAAAAGTAAATGAAGAAGCCATAACCCTCAACCTGATGTCAGTTGTTCTAAGTGCTGAGGCAAGTTTTACAAGAGAAGGCCAGGGAAGAGATTATGCAATGGGGTTATTGAAAGCCAGACTAGTCTTGGATACAATAGCTTGGTTCTTGGTTATAGAGTCAGATTACAAACCCTGCAGGTAATAAAACATGGCTCTGAAACAGAAAAGGAGTATAAAGTTATAAATAGAAATTCGCTGTCAAATATTTCTTCAGCATCAGTGGAGATGAGGCACAGACGGAGAGGAGATTAAATCTACAGGAGACCTGGCGTATATTAATTAAGTGTCTGATATTACAGAACATGTCTGGGGTAAACATAACCAATCTCATCTTGGTGAATTGATTTTCTGATAGTGTCTTGAAGACTAGTGGCCAGTATCCTCGATAAAAATCTTTACATCTGCATTACTTAGTGAAATCAGGAAATAAGCATCACATTCTGGGCATTTATTAGATTTAGTTTAAATGCTAAATTCTTGCATGGCAAACAGCCACTTTCTCTAGAGTTACTGAACTTATTCCCTATCAGATCTAAAATCAACTGTGAAAAATCTTTACATAAGCCTGCTGGGACTCCATCAAAGCCAGGTGTTTTGACAAGAGATAATTCTTCATCTGATCTCCAAGTTTCCTAAAACATCACTGTCTTTACTGATATAAGCTAGAAGAAACAGGAACTTTTGTGTAGTTTACTGAAATGGAAAACAGATATGCTGTGCACTGTAACACCATGTTTTTCTCATGCCTTTAAAAAGATTCAAACATTGATATAACTAAGCAAAAGCTGTATTAAAATAATCTAAATAAGCTTGCAAAGTCGAATACCAAAATAAGGAAAATCTAAGCAGTCTTCACTCAATCCCCGTTATACTTGTCCCTTACTCTACAGTATCATTCTAACACAATAAATTATACAGTCCCCATTATAATAAAAAAAACAAGTCTTCTGAAAATTTGGGAACAAACCCAAGTTCCAGAATTAAAAGTTAGCTACCCATCCCAACAGAGTGTTGACACGTACACACATAAGCACACATTGATAATTTCTCCTTTTGCAAATTATTTCCCAGTGCTTACTTAAAAATAACCTTTTTTATTTTTCCTAGCAGCTTAGTGATTTTCCTCTCCTTTGCATGCAGGTAGAAACTAATACAATTTTTAACTTATGCACTGATGGAGTGAAGTTTTTTTCTCTTCTCACCTTTCCAAACTCTGTCTCTAAGTATATAT